CTTGGGGGGAGGTTTGAGCCTGCAGAGGCCAGGGGGACTTGAGCAAGGTGCAGCCAAACTAATTTGCAAATTCTGTGGTCCCTGGTGAGCTGGCCTTGCCAAAGGTTACCATTTCCCTGTGAGAGGCATTACGTACTCAGAACGGGTGGCAAGAGGGTTTGAGCCTCAGGAGGCTTTCTCAGAGTTGCAGCACACCTGGGAGCTTTCCCTAAGGAAAGCTACTGGCTCTTTGGAATTGTTCCCTGGAGCATCTTCTGCCAGTGAGCTGCATCTCCAGGGGTGTCCCTGTACTCACAGCCCTCTCTGCTCTTTGCAGCCAACTCAGAGCTGATGGGAACTGATGGGAACTGATGGGACCTGATGGGAACTGATGGGAACTGATGGGATCTGATGGGAGCTGAGTGGAACTGATGGGTCAGACCTGCTTGGTTACACTGAGTTTTGGGATACCCCCTGCTGTTTTATAACCCCATCCTTTGTGCTCTAAGCAGCTAGTGTCCCTGGCCTGGGAGAGCCTGGAAAATGGTGAAGTCCACAGTCCAGCAGGAGCATTTTGCTTGAGCCTGGTGGCCACTGGAGCAATGGGGGTGGCTCACATGCCCTGCAGCCAGGCAGCCTCCCGGATTAGATTATGGAAACAGCCGAGATTACTTCTATCCCAGTGAGCATCCCCCTGCCCAGCTTGCACAATGCCCCCTCTGAAGCAAGGGCATTTCTCATTGTGTGGCTCCAGATAAGCCAAAGCCTCACCCTTTGCTATAGCAGCACCTTCTCTCCCCAAGGCCACGTACCTTCGAGGGCATCTTTGCAAGTATTCTCAGGATTAATTCCCCTCCTCAGTGCCAGGTTCACCTCTCTGTCCCTCACGTCACACCAGTGGCACTGCACACATGTTTGGACACCTCAGTGGGAGCAAAGCAGCTGGAAACCACATGGAAACACAGAGCACCAAGGATGCTGGTCACCCCCAAAACCTGCTCTTGGGAATGCAGACCCCTCAGGGTGATTTGGGCTGTGTTCCAGCAGGCTGCTGGCACAGCACAGAGGAGCACTGGGGCTATTTGCTTCACAAGGCCCTAAATTCACCCCAGAGGGAGGAGGAGTCAAGCAGCAAGGGGGATGTGGGTGGCATTTTGGGGTCCCTGGGTGCTGGGAACTCGCTTGCCTCCAGCCTTGACCTTTGCTATCACTAAGACTTGCACAAACTTGTAATTGTTAACTAGTTCCCCCGTAGCGGGCTTGTTATTTTTTCAGGACAGGGTTTGAAAATGCAAGACATCTACAGTAGTAAAGATTTTATTGTGCTGGCAGCGGACTGTAAAACTCGATGACATGACACTGGGGATTGCCTAAACCTTGTTCCCACTGATGCAACTGCTCAGGCTTGGGGGGGATGTGAGGAAGGGAGGTGGTTTTGAGTCACGTCTGGAGGTGCTTCAGCACGAAGGGCAGGAGCAGCCCACTCCCACCCAGCTGCTCCCTCCCTGCAGCCAAGTGAGCCCAGTGTGAGGATCTGGGGGGATCACAGGAGGCATGCACAGCTGAAACAATGGATGACTGCTTGGCTCATCACTGCCTAATGACGTGAAAATCATGGGGAAGCCCAGCCTGGAAGGAGAGAAGGGAGATTTTTCTGTAGAAAAAGCTTTTCCACCTAGAAATGGGCTCCCCTGTCGGCCCCCTCTCTCAGTTTGCTGCTGACACGGGAGTTTTCCCTCTAAGACAAAACTTTCCGCAGTTTGTATCAGTTTTATATCCATTTATATGACTGCTAGCACTTTTTCATATTCCAGAGGACCATTTATGGTAAGAAAATCCATTTTCCAATAAATAATCAAAGTGATCATATTTTGGAAGGGGAAAAAAATCATAGAAGGAAACTTTTGAAAAAAAAAATTAGCCTGTGCTGAACATTGAGCCAGCATGATATCTTTTTTCCTTCCAATAAATCTTCTGGCTTATTTCTGTACCCAAACTACAGTGAGCCAAGAGGAATTCCTGAACGCTCGGGTACAGTCAGCCCTTCCCCTGCTGTGGCATGCTGCAGGAATGCCACGAGCTTTTTGAAGCTACCTCCAGGATTTGGTTAGCCAAGAGTAAGAGAAGAAACAAGCTAAGAACATGGCAGTTTCAAAGCAAAATAAAGTGGCTTTTTTTGTGACATCAGTGGTGTAAGCCTCAGGGAAGGGGAGAGCCCGGCAGGGAAGCTGCCTAGAAGGGAGACAATAGTGTATGGAGGAGCCTCTTTACAAAGTCCCTCTGTCAATAAAACGTGGGTTCAGGTGAGCTCAGGTGACATTCAAAAGTGCAAGCAGGAAAGCCCTAAATGGCAAATCTCAGCATGTGATTAACCTGGGGAACACCCTGCTCAGGAGCTTTTCCAAGGCAATCACTTGACTGAGGTCCACTGAACCTCGAGCAGTGTGATGACTGCAGGAAAATGATTGCCAAGGGGATTTGGAGGGCAGTTCTGAGGGTTGTCCTCTGTGTCAGATTCCAGGTGCATGGTCCCTGCTCTGGAGGAAGCGTGAGTCACACAAGACTCGTGCTGCTGGCTTTGGCCACCTACTTCAGTTGGGGTAAAATACCAGGTTTTATCCGATGTAGCTGCTAATTCCCCACCTTTACCCAGTAGTAAGAAGGTCTCAGTAAGTGAATTCCCTGAACTCCTATCTTGCTGAAACCTGAGCCCCTCTCCATGGGTATACCACTAGGTCATTCAAGTACATCCAATATCTTTTTTGAGGGGAAGAGAGTCAGAGATAGAGTTACACATTGTGCAGAAATGCTATTAACTGTAGTTGAGCATCACAACTTGGATTTATTAGCAGGGGGCTGAAAGACCGACATGGCAGGGGATGTAACTGATAACCTTGCCTTGCATCCGTTTGAGCAAATGGGTCCCGTCCCTGTGTGCTCATCAGAGATTTAGCGCTTCTCAGGAGCCTTTTTGCAATCACAGTCATTTAGCAAACATACGATACTTCACACTCAAAGCCGAGACGGGGGCATATGGCACTTCCTACCTCCTAAACGTTGATGGATTGAATTGCTTTGACTATTCAAGGAATCAAAGGCCTGGTTCGAATCTCAAGGCCTTGTGCTGATTTCGGTGAACTTCCTTCTGATTTGTCCTGTGTGTGGAGAATCAGGCTTATTCTAAGTTAAGCAAGCAAGAGAGTTCAAACAGATGAAAATGTTTCCTACTCAGTGGTCCTGAGCACTTTCAGTCTCAAAAGTCTGAGCAATGGGAAGTTTGAAGATGACCTCATCCCCTTCATTTGAAATGGGCCTTTTCAGGCAGAAAAAAAAAAAATGAAAAGAGGAAAGAAAAAGAAAGTATACTTTAAGCAGAAAAAAGTGCAAGCTCGCTATTGGTAACAGGAAAGTTGAGCACAAAGGTAGTCAAGAATAGGATAATGTTGTGAAAAAGAGTGAGAGCTAGATCTTTTGCCAAAACCAGAGCCATAAGAGCCAGTGGGCCACTGCTGACCCACCATCTCCTTTTAAAAGCAAACTTACCAGCCAGAATGGAGATAAACAGGTATCTCCTGGTTTTCACTGGGATTTACCAGTTTCTTGGTGGTTAAGACACCATTTTGGACAGAGCCCCAGGGAGAAGAGCTGAGATATTCAGAGCTCCCAGCTGCACATGGCAGAGACTGAGCTTTTACTCTGCTTAATCCCAAACAGGAATTTGAAGGGGCAGGTGAAGGAGGGAACCTGCCTTTCAGTAGGAGAAAGGGAAAAGGCTTATTTTTTTTTCCTCATACACAATTTCAAATGCTCCAACTCTGGTCCTTTGCTAAGCCAAAACGACCACCCAAGGTCTCCTGCAAAATGCAGATGTTATTCCTCCCCCTGCCCAAGCTGTGGACGCGTGTCTCTGGCTGTGCACCGCGTGGCCAGTGAGCCTGAGCTCAATAATGTGTTTTCCTTCTCCTAACACCTGACAGTAGCATGATTTCACCAACCACTTGGTCCCATTGCTGCATACTTTCCAAGGTGATATAAATCAAACAGATTAACATGTTTGCTTTTAATTTTACATTTTAGAAACAGCTGTTGAACCACCTCAATGCCAACAGTGTCTATTGCCAGCATTAGTGTCATTAGTAGTCATCGCAGCTGTAACAGCACCATTATCTCCTGCTAAAAGGGTCACTGATGGCTCAGGACAGAGCTTGGGGAAGCGAAAAGAGCAGACTAAATGAGATGGAAACTGCAAACAGTTGCTTCTATATTAACTTGCATAAAGGCCTGTGGATGCTACGCAGAGGGAAATTAATTTGCACAAGTAGCAAAAATTTTGGCTAGAGAGTCATCAAGGAGGAGGGGCTCTTGGTAGCTTTTGTGTTACTTGGGCTAATGTAAAGCATATAAATATGGGAAAGAGAGAATGGGGACATTACTACCAACCATCTTCATCCCTCAGAGTGAACTTCTCTCCACCTCTTGCTGCCAATTCTTGGGTAAGTTGGATTGCCTCCCTTTCATTTCCTACTTGTTGTGCAGTCCTATCTTCTTAAGCTGATGAAGCAGGCAGTGACAAGACCCAAGAAAATGAGGCCTCCTCAGGTCTTTGAGGACATTGTGAAGGTTTTGGGCCATCATCACACATTACAGCCCCTTCTGAATGGGCAGAGAGGGTTTTCCCTCTGAAGGGGTCTGCTGATGTTGGCTCTCAAGGGCATGTACGCTACAGGGCTTGGTGGGATGGCTCTGCCAGCCTTTTGAGGCAGGAGGGCAGGGAGCCTGAGACTGATGGAGCATGGAGATGGAATTATAGTTATAGTCAGTAGTCTTTTACTGTCACTTGTAAATCCTGGTGCAGAAAGCTCTCCTTCCTTCTCAAACTAGAAAGTCCATCTCCTTCTCTGGTCTCATTTCCATGCCAGAGGAGCTGAAAGACATAAGATGCTTGATTACAACCTTTTTTTACCTCCTAGACTTTCCTGTGTCTCCTCTGCCTCTTAATCCTAGGCCTCAGCCTGCCTGCCATGGCTCTCTGGATCCAATCGTTGCCTCTCCTGGCCCTCCTCGCCTTTTCCGGCCCCGGGAGCAGCCACGCGGCTGTCAACCAGCACCTCTGTGGCTCCCACTTGGTGGAAGCTCTGTACCTGGTGTGTGGGGAGCGGGGCTTCTTCTACCAGCCCAAAGCCCGGCGGGATGTTGAGCAGCCTCTAGGTAAGCCGGGCTGACCGTGAAAGCAGTGTGTGCGTGCTACGTGATGCGAGACGCAGCAACCGCCTATCTTTGACAGTGACACCAGGAACGTCCTCCATGGGGAATGCCAGGAATACCTTCGGCATACCAACAGCATTAGGTTGCCAGTGAAAAGCTCTTCAGGTTAAAAAGGCAGATGAGAGGGTAGGCAGGGAGAGAGGATTTATGAGGCAAAAGGAGTTGTGCCTGAAAACTCAAACTCGTCTATTTCTTTGTGTGGCTGTTATACCAGCCTGGGAGTATTCATAGCAAATAAAGGTGGGAGGAACTCAAGAAGCCTTTTTCTGTCCCAAGACAGGATCAGTTGTCCCCATTCCATTTCTTACCCATGTTTGTCTGGTACATTCATAAAAACTTCCAGAGAGAAAGCTTCTTCTGCCTTCTGGAGCTGCCCATTCCCAAGCTCAACTGACCTTCTTCTTGAGGGTTTCTTCCCAATATCTAACCTGAACATCCCTTGCTGTAAATTATTTCTTGTCTTCTCAATAGTGGACATGGGGAAGAGCTTAGTCATTTCGCCTTTATGACTGGTATTCAAAATATTTGAATACTGTTCCCATGTCTAGTTTTGACCTTTCCTCAGCTATACTGCCTCCTTAGCTCGTATTTTCTAGATATCTAAACATGCAGTTCTGCATTTGTCCACATCCTTGCTGACTGGTGAGGCCTGGAGAAGCACACTGAACATTCTGTCTTCCAAGCTTCTAATCAAGACTGTCAATAGATGAAGAAGAGACCCCTGTCCAAATTTAATCCATTTCAATCCTCTCATTTCAAGATCAACCTTTACTTAACATGCCCTGACTACAATACATCTCTCCCACCATTTCTCTTCCCATCACATACTGTTTTCCTTCATATCCAATTCCCTCTCCTGTGTATGTAACCTTCCTGTGAAATAGTCTTAGGGGGTCTTTGTAAGGTAAAACAAGATAATGCCCTATCAGAGTGTTTGCCATGGTTTCTTTGGGATGTCATTTGCTCCATTCTCTGATTATTCATTTCTGGAGACCAACACAAATGGGTTGGGGGTTTCATTAGCCAAATTACCTAAATACTGTACAGAGAATTTTAATCATGCCAACCAGAATGCAAGTATTTGGGGATTTTCTACCTTTTTTTTTCAGGACTTTTGCCTGAGCCACCACCTCTTTGTCACACAATCTGGTTATGTTTACAGTCTGCTCACAGCTGGCTTGAAGGATGAAGACAAGTAAATCACAAAACATTGACTAGCTATTTCCTCTTCTACTTAACATTGGACCAAATTTTTCCCAAATTTCCCTTCTAGCACACTAGCATAATGATTTTGTGTTACTCTTGTGCCTTGTTCATTGCCTCACGCTTTGGGGGCTTGGGGATTTTGCATCTTGTACTGTACTTGTATTGCCCTAGAAACCACATCTCATTCTCACTTTCCAGGCATTTTCTCTTTGTTGTTAAGGGCTCTTTTCTTCCTGCAGGAAAAACTCACTGCCATTTATTTGCCATTTTCCATACTTTCCTGGGGCAACCAAAACCTGAACTGATCTGTGCACAAGTTTTCAAGTTCTCACCAGCAAATAAGATATTCTGTTGAGTTTTATCTGTGTCCAAATACCCTAATTTATCATTGCTTCTAAAAACTTGCCCCCAGCTGTGAACACAGACACACACAGATGCTTTTGCTGTCAGTTTGGGGCTATATCCAGGCAGCCAACTGAATCAGGCTGCTCAGGAGCAGCTGGGAAATGCACCCAGCCTCAGAACTGGACTGTCCCCGCAATCCCATGAACATCCCAGTTGTCTGCCCAGAATCCCAGAAGAGTGGATAACTGACTAAAGGGCTCTGCAGCCCCAAACTCTTCTCTGTAGAGCAGACAATCCCATTTTATCATCTCACTTACTAGTTGCTCACCCCAGGGAGGGTGCAGGATTTGTCTTCTTCTCCACACAGCTTCCCCAGTAAAGCCCCTGTGTCCCTTTATCCCTCACACTGCTGAGAGATAGCCACTCAGCTTGGCACCTTCTGAACACCACAGGATTATTTTGGGAGAGGAAGCAGGGAGCCTGAAGGCACTACAAGCAGCATCAACCTGGGGACACTGGTGCAACTTCCTTCCCGTTTTCCAAGTGACTCTGGATTAAAAATCTGGTGCCTGTTAAAGGGGTGTCTGCAGGGCTCCAGAGCCAGGGCTGATGCTGTGTGATGTCCCACAACTTCTCTTCTTCTTCCCTGGCAGTGAGCGGTCCCTTGCACGGTGAGCTGGGAGAGCTGCCCTTCCAGCAGGAGGAGTTTGAGAAAGTGAAGCGAGGGATTGTTGAGCAATGCTGCCACAACACCTGCTCCCTCTACCAGCTGGAAAACTACTGCAATTAGCAGCAGGGCTGTCGCTGGGGAGCTCATGGGCTGTGGGCAGAAACATGCACTTATGCTACTGCACCTTCAAAGCAATTGAATAAATCTTGTGGATCTATTGGAAGGACTGCACTGGTTCATGTGTCCACATCTCTTTGTCTACTTTAGAGTGTCAGTGTCCATGCTCCTCGGGTAAAAGGAAGTTTTCAGCCATCACTTTGGATTATCCTTATGCCATACAAATGAACTCCCTGGGAAGGAGGGAGGGGAGGGGTATTACACATCTTTGGAGCAGGTATATGGAGCATCTGGCACCCCCAGTGCTTGGAGAACAAGAAGGAAAAGGCAGAGAGGTTTGAACAAGACTTCTCTTGCTAGGGAAACATTACATCTGTAACAATGTCATGCTGATCAACTTCCTGCAGTTCACAGCCCAAATATAGCCAGGCAGCTGGAGACCGAACTTCCTCAGCTACATAATGGAAACAGTAAAGATTAAGCAAAGAATTATGTCACCTATTCATTGTACTCAGAAAAATCATGGATGGCCATCATGGCCAATTCAGAAAGTGTGTCTAGTTCCTACTTCTGCCCATGGGAGGCCCAGGGAGAGTCCCTGCTGTGGGATGTGCTTCTTGTTCACAAGGATAAGCCATGTACTGAAAGTGGATTTAACCCAGAAGGGGTTTTGAATCTACTGGCTATGTGCTGGGCAGTATCCTTGCTTCTGGTGCTGCAAACCTCTTTCTGGTCCCAAATTGCCCCTTTCTGTGAGGAAAATCTGCCCAGCAGTGCAAGCTGGCCAGAGTACCCCAGAGTGCAGGGAAGGGCTGTGTTCCCTCTGCCGAGGACTCCCATGGCAGCCTACTGAAAGCCATGCAGAGGGGCTCTGTGGAATGGGCTCAGCCTGGCAGAGGTGACAGCAGCAGGACTGCATTCTGCTGGTGACAGATTTTGAAAGTTGGTCTGAGAGGAGCCTGTGGTTTTAACAGCCTCATTTCCCAAACCAGTTCCGACTGCCTCCAGTGGAGTTGCCCAGATGGAAGCTGCCATCTCATCCCTGCCAGGATGCATTACTCCTGATCCTATCACAAGCACAAAACTGGCCAAACCACCACAAACTGAAAGGCTTGAAGAGCAGCTGGAGGAGCTGCTGAAAAGAAGATACAGCCATAAAAAATGAAATCAGAAAACACTCATGATTCCCTGTGGTGACCTTCCATACAAATTCCCTTGATTCAGCCAAAAGCCCAAGACAGGACTTGCAGGTGCCACACCAGCGCTTTGGGGCTACTCAGCCAGTCCTGCTCTCCCTGAACAACTTTTCATCCCTCTCCATCACCCTTTCTGCTGGGCCCCACAAAATATTCCCAGCAGCAAAGCTTTCAACAGTGACAAGCAGCTTCGGGCCAAAATCATGTGGTTATGAAAGCACAGCAAGATATATTATGTCCCTGAGATGCTTGGCTCTCACCAAATCTCACAGTGTATAGCTCCACTGGTTTCTAGGGGGGGACTCCTGGAACTTCCTACCTGTCCTGGTGAACCATGAGATCAGGACAAACCAAAAAACCCCCAAAACAAACAAACAAACAAACAAAAAAAAAAAAAAAAAAAAAAAAAAGAAAAGCAGTGCTATTGCTCATTGTAAGGCCACCAACATATTCAGGCATGCAGCCAAACACCAGCAATCCCATCCATCCAGGAGATACCACCCTGATCCAAAAGGCAGGTGTTCAGGTCTGCTTGGATGTTCTGGAGGGAAAGGACATCCAGCCATGGTGGTTCCTCCATCTGGCACAGCCCTGTTTATCTGCTGGCACTCCTGCCCTGGCAGCGATGCTCTGCGCGGGTGAGGACAGCTCTTCAGAGATGCCCAGCTCATTTCCTGCCCTCTGCCATTGTTTGGTCTGATCCTTTGTTTGTTTGCTTTTTCTGAATGCTCTCAATTAGGACTTGTTGGGAAATTGCAAATTCCACTTTTTCTGCTGGAAAATGTTGATTCATCAAGATCAGCACACCCCGCAGGACCAGACTGGTTTTAGCAAGGCAGGATTTGAAAAAATGAAGGGACATAGAAGGTTCAGGTGCCTGCTCTTCATCTTCTGCATCCAATTTCCCCAGACCACAGGCCAACCACCAGGCTCTGGGCTACCCAAGGGTGGATGTTTTTTGCTTCTGCTGAAAGATTCCAGGAGGTGACCACCCAGATCAGGGAGGGATGGATGGCCCCCATGTCAGCTTTAGGGGCCCAAGCTGTCTGAGCTCTCTGCAGAGCACATGCAGGTGCTGTTGCTTCTTTCCTCCCCAAAGCAAGAGCTGTCCTGGAGATGAGTGGCCTAGGGTGAGCTGCGCTGCTCTCCAGGAGGTGCAGGAGAACAATTTTAAAACTGTAGAAAGTAAAAAAAAAAAGTTTTGCACTTTTGCTTTCCAGAACTGAAAATATAAAGGGCCAGCTCTTCACTTCTTAAAAGCTGCGGTAAGGTGAAGGCCAGAGGAGAACAAAGCTACTTTTTCCCCTTTTTCTGGAATTCCAGGGAAGAAAGCCTGAAGGAAACCCTGTGCATTTTCCACAATGGAGCACATGGCTCCCTGGCTTACAAACATGATGCAGCTGGCTTGTTGACCCTGTGTTGTGGCAGGACAGGCAGCTTTAGTCCCCTACCCCACCCAAACCCAAGAGTGGGTGTCCTTAAGGTCCTTTCCAACACCTTTAATGGTGGTCCAGGATAGAATTTCTTTATAAAGCCTCCCTCAAATCCTTGTGCCCTTGCCCAGGCCATTCCCTGTCCTCAGATGTGCTTGGGAGATGCCAGATCTTATGAATTCCTGCAGGAGAAATGATTCAAGGACAGGGAATGCCGCATCCACTGACCTCCCTCTCTGTTCCTCCTCTTGCCAGGGCTTTGCATTGTGATCTTTGGGAAGCAAATGCATCCAGTCCCCTTTATTCTGACTCAGCAGTTGCTCTGAAGTGATTTTTGCGGTAGCGGTGGGGCATCATGCCTGAGTGAAATATCTTGGCTCTGCTACTCTTGCAACAAACTTCCAAAGGTCTCATGCTCGTGGTAGAGGGCAATTTGAAGAGAATGCAAATAAAGGCTTCGGTTCATTCATGCTGCTTGAATAAAGAATAGAAAGCTGAGCCGCAGAGGGGATTGCAAGGCAAATTCTTTGGGCTGCTGAGTTGTTAACACTGCCTAGAAAAAGAAAGGACCAAAGTTGCCCCTGTCTGCCACGTGCAAGGGCCCTCATTCAAAAGGGCAGCCCTACAGTTTTGAGGAAAGGGGAATGATGTGCACAGAAATGGGAATGGAGAGGAACTTCTGCAGGGCACTGGCCATTTGGGTCCCTGGTGAATGGGTGGTAGATCATGTTCTCCAGGTTGCTGGATGGGCTCTGCTGCTCCAGCTTATCTGGAGAGGAAGGGAAGGCTGCCACTTTCCCGGAGCTAATCCGACTATATTATTTCCTTTCCGGGAAACCACAGATAGAGAGCTCTCTGTTGCACTGGGAACATAAGAGATTCACTTTAAGAAGTAGTCAGACTATACTCTGGCATTTATTTCTTTTTAACCATCTTATCAGCATTTTAGGAAATTTTAAAACCTGCTTACAGCCTCTCCCCTTATCTGCAGAGTGATCCCTAATAACAGACTTGCAGCAATGACTTGAATTGGAAAGCATGCACTGAGCAGATTCAGTGTTAAGACCTCAATTTCACTCTGGTTTAGATCAACCTCACCAAAGACACCTATCTTGAACAAAAAATAGTCCTTCTTCCTTCTCCTTTCACTCTGGGCAGGAAGAAAACTTTAGGTCAGGCTATAAATTGATCTGGAAAGTCACTGCCAGCACATTGTCTCTGGCAGAATTATTCCTGCATGCTGTGGGGAGGAAGGAGTCTGGTTTTTTCCAAGCCCAATGCCAGGCTGGCTCTCACATGCCCCCCAGTTCTGATGGGCAGAGCAGGCAGGAGCAGATCCAGGACAATAACGGGAAGCGAAGCAAGCAAGCGGAGCACACAAGGAAATGATCTGAACCTCAATCATTTCCCTCCGTACCTCAATCCTTTCCCTCCATGCCCAGTCATCTTCAGGACTGTCAAGAAAAGGTGGACAAACCTCCTGAACTCCTCCAACCTCCTTTCTGTTGCTGGAAAAAGACAGCCGAAATACCACTTTATTTATTTATTAATTTATTCATTTATTTATTTATTCATTTATTTTCATGCCTGGTACAGGATTGCCAGGATCTCCAGAATGCATGTGGTTGCTCACACTAAAATTTCCCACAAATGTTTTCAGATTTTGGAAGAAAATGGATAACAGAAATAAATTTGGCTTTCGATTTCCAGGTTGTTGTCCTTTGGGCTTTGTAATGCTGGATTTTGGCAGTGGGGATATTTTACACAACTGCCAACTTCTAAAATGTAACTTTTTGTCAGAAAATAATGCAGCTTCCTCTTTTCTAATCAGAAAACGGAAAATCAAATATAAATGACACCACCCACCCTACACTGACGAGAAACCATTCTGTGGAAATTTCAATGGAAAAAAATCTACCCTTTTTTCCCCTTATCAGAAACCTCCTCAACTTTGGAGACTGAGACTCAGCAGGGTCTGGGCTCTGCAGACTTGCCTGCCAGCAGGTCTTGCACACCCAAGTTTCAAGCTTTTCCTACGTGTTTTGGGAGATTTAAAAATCTTATCCCAAATAAATGCTGTCTTGACCCCTGGGCTTCTACTGATCTCAGTGACAAGAACAAGAAATCACCAAGTGAAAAAGACCAAGACCTAGTCAAAGCACACCCAGGTTGCACACCACAGCCTTCTCCTCTCCTTCTTCTGAAATTGTTTTTTCAGTATTTCTGCAGCCTAAACCTGGCCACATTTTTCCAAAAGCTGGCACCTTGTCCAAAAATAATGGATTTCAACTCCAAATAAGGAAAAAACCCGTGCCCATAAAATTCTGATGACGTGTGGACAAGTTATTTTTCAGTCCTAGTCCTGGTGCAGATG